TCATCGCCAACCGACTCCACCGAGTCCGGGCGCCCAGCAGACCTACGGCGTGCTCCCAGACCTATGGTCTGCGTCAAGCGGCGCGGGCCACGGACCTTCGCCTGAACCGTAGCTCGGGCCGAAGGCGCCGCGCGCGGGCGACGCCAGGGAGAGGAGACGACGGCAGCAGCGGCAGAGAGGGATGAGGGGAAGGAAAGGAATGAAGAAGCGGCGCGGGCACTCACAAGTAGTAGGTAGAAGAACAGGTGGGAGTACAAGTAGACGTAGCACGTGTGCTGGTAGCCGACCCCGGGGTGGGTGGAGGCCGAGGGGTGCCTGGGGACGGTACCGCTGTACCGGAACGCCCAGGAATCCAACTGCGCAACATCCCGCACCCGGGCTTTGCATTGAATTCTGCTTCGCCGCGCCGCACTGGCGCCAGAGCTGGGGTTGGAGACGGAATTGGAGGAGCTGGAGTCGGAACCGGCGTTGGCGCCGGGGTTGGTGGCGGCTTCGGCGCATGCGCCAGGTGAAACGGAGGCGGAATCGGAGCCAGCCAAGGAGCTGGAGTCGGAATGATGATGGTGTTGCCTGAGGCGCTGGTGGAGAGAAGTATGCCGGTGGCTGTGCTGGTCGAAGCGGGATTCGCATTTTTTCCATTTCGTCTATTGCCACCGCTGCCAGTCCTCCTCGTCCTCCTTCCCCTCTCTTCCTGTCTTCTTCGGCGGCGAGTACGGCCTAAATCCACGGATACGCCGGTGCAGCCAAAATTTGTACAATGGCCCCGGGCTTGCACCAGCAGGTCGGTAACCGTTTGGTCCAGACCTCCCGGAGGCGTGTTCGGTGAGCTGGTCGATGCGGGAGTCGGTGTGCTGGTCGGAGCGGGAGTCGGTAACCGTTTGGTCCAGACCTCCCGGGGGCGTGGTCGATGAGCTGGTCGATGCGGGAGTAGGTGTGCTGGTCGGAGCGGGAGTCGGTAACCGTTTGGACAAGACCTCCCGGGGGCGTGGTCGGTGAGCTGGCCGATGAGGGAGTCGGTGTGCTGGTCGGAGCGGGAGTCGGTAACCGTTTGGTCCAGACCTCCCGGGGGCGTGGTCGGTGAGCTGGTCGATGCGAGTCGGTGTGCTGGTCGGAGCGGGAGGCGGTAGCCGTTTGGTCCAGACCTCCCGGGGGCGTGTTCGGTGAGCTGGCCGATGCGGGAGTCGGTGTGCTGGTCGGAGCGGGGGTCGGTAACCGTTTGGTCCAGACCTCCCGGGGGCGTGGTCGTTGAGTTGGTCGATGCGGGAGTCGGTGTCCTGGTTGGTGCGGGGGTCGGTAACCGTTTGGTCCAGACCTCCCGGGGGCGTGGTCGGTGAATTCACCGACCAGTGAACTGGTCGATGTGGGGGTCGGTGTGCTGGTCGGAGTGGGAGTCGGTATCCGTTCGGTCCAGACCTCCCGGGGACGGATACGGTGCGTGATGTGATGAGGGGGGCAGGATTTGTCCGCCCCCTGTCGCGTTAGCCGCCCCGCGTCGAAGTCGGAGTCGGAATTCGGGCGGGCGCTGAGGTCGGAGCCAGTAGCTTCCGTGCAGTGCACGAGAGGATAATCGGCGCGGGTGTCGGAGCCCAGCCTGCGTTACCACAGTGGCCCCTCCCCCGTGCCAGAGAGGCCCGACCAAACCGTATGTATGCCCTGGGATGACCTCCGGCTCGGAGTCGAAACGGTGTGGTTGGAGCCGGCGTATGCGTGGGTCCGTTGTTGGTGTTCTGCTGCGAGTCCATTGTTTTGGGTTGGCTGCGGGTCGGCAGTGTCCCGGGTATGTTGCGTGGGACCGTTGTTGTGGGGCTGGGATGGACCAGTTGTTGTGGGTCTGTGTAGGGTAGACGTGTGTCGGCTATGGTTCGACTTTGTTGCGTGGGCCTGTGGCGGTGGGTCGGCAAGGGGTCGTTGAGAAATGAGTCCGTGGCACGGGTCGGTTCCTGTCCGCGTGCTGCGGGTCGGTAAACTTCGGGTTTGTTGCGGTGAACGGTTGCAGCGTGTCTGCTGCGTGCTGGCTACTGTGAGTTATGTTCGTGAATAGCTGCTCGAATTTCCGCCCCATCTGGAGTGCACCGTTTTTGTAGGAAGTTGTTGTGCGGGGCGGCGGCTGAGGCGGAGCGGCCGCTGAGGGTCAGCTGTGGGGTGGCTGCGGTTCGCTGCGCGGGTTGGGCGTTGTGGGCCTGTTGTGTGGCGGTTGCGTGGGTCTGCTGTGGACCGGCAGTGGGGCGGTCGCAGTTGGAGGTTGTTGCGAGGGTCGGTTGGCGCGGGTCGGTCGTGGTTCGAGTTTGTTGCGTGGATCGGTTGTTGCGAGACTGCTGCGTGTCAATTGTTGGTCCTGGAGGTGCCGTGGTATCCCGGTACCGGAGGTAGTGGATGGGAGGCGCTCGGAATCCAACGTCGGGCCAGGATGTGGGTGGAGGGGCCGTGTCCTCGAACGTCTTCGCGAAGTGCGGAGTTGTTCGGGGCTGGAGTCGCCGAGTTGGTCGGCGCGGGAGTCGGCGAGCTCGTCCGTGAGAGAGTGGATGAACAGGTCGGCGCAAGAATCGGTGAGCTTGTCGGTGCGGGAGGCGGCGAGCTGGTCGGAGCGGGGAGTCGATGAACTGGCCGGCGCAGGAGTCGGCAAGCTGGTCGGCGCGGGAGTCGGTGAGCTGGTCGGCGCGGGAGTCGGCGAGCTGGTCGGTGTGGGAGTCAGCTAGCTGGTCGGCGCGGGAGTCGGCGAGCTGATCTGCGCCAGATTGGCCTCCTGCCCTTGAGCTGGTCGGGGCGGGGGTCGGTGAACCAACCGGCGAAGGAGTGGGCGAAATGGTCGGCGCGGGAGCCGGTGGGCTGGTCGGTGCGGATTTCGACGAGCTGGTCTGCACTGGAATCGGCGAGCCGGTCGGCGCTGGAGTCGGTGAGCGTGTCGGGTGGGAGTCGGTGGGGTGGTCGGCGCGGGAGTCGGCGAGTCGGCGCTGTAGTCGCCGTGGGTCAGTTGCCGTGCGTCGGTACACCTCTGTAGGACATGATCCCTCCGCACTTGGGCATCCAAGCCGTTACTCCTGCAGCCGCGACCCAGAAGCTAAGAAGGTGTCCCGTGACACACAAGGGTGTGATGAAGGTGAGTTGCCAGGGCGGTCCTCCGCGAGCCTCAGGGGACAGGTTCGGAAGTAATTCGGACGGTCCCTACTATGTCTGCCTCGGCAAAGTGGGGGTGGATGCGGGTCAGCGGGTGCTGGGGGGTGGAGATCGGATTGCGAACTTGGTGGCGGCTGGAGGGCGAGGGGTGGCGACAGAGGTGGAGCGTCCGTTGTCGAAGGAATGAAGGTCGGCTGAAGGTCAATAGGTGGAGGTGGCGGCGGGAAGTCGGAAAGCAATTGGTGCTGGAAGTGGTGGTGGTGTCACGGCACCGGAGGTAGTGGATGGGAGGCGCTCGGAATCCAACGTCGGGCCAAGACGTGGGTGGAAGGGCCGTGTACTCGAACTCCTTCACGAACCCATTGTGTCATTGCGTCGTAGAGGGCTGTCGTCGGCAGGGGGGTCTGTGCATGTCGTTGGTAGTTCGTGCACCTGTATGTCGCATAGACCAGAAGGGCAATAGTCGTGAGGGTTTACCTGGAGAAAAGAATGGAGATTCACGAGCTGGTCTGGGTCGAGGTGCAAAAACTGCGCAGCGAGTCGCTTCACCGCCGAGCACTTCGCATAATGCTCAATTGCGTCTTGGGTGTTAGGTCCTCTGCAAAGGAGGCAATTATGGTGTCGTTGAAAGCGACGGGCTGTGGTCCAACGGTTCCACATCGTGCTGAATACCGCTTATTGCACCCTTGGGCTCACCAACTTGTTCAGCTGCCGAAGGTGGTGGAGAGCTGCTCGGCCGTGCCAATTCTCCGTGCGTTTTCGAATCGGAAACAAGCTCGTGATGTGGGCGTGGTCAGGCATATTGAGGTACCACCGTCGGTACTTGTGCCGGACGCGGTGCTCGGCCGGCGGGGCGCGTGCCTGCAACAAACGAACATACACGGCCGATTGGAAACAGGCGCGAATGCGCCTCCAGTCTTTCACGGTGTAGGGGGTTGGGCGCGTAGGTACCATGGAGCGGTATATCTCGGCAGGCGCCCCCAGAAGTGTCGTCATACTGGAGAAATTCGTGTCCAAGCGGAGGTGGTAAGAATGCCGAAACCAGCTGTCCCACCTGGATCGTTCCTGCAAGCGGTCCGTGGCCCCCAAAAGTAATCTGAGGAACCGGGTGCGCCGGTTGAAGGTGCAACTGCGGTTTGTGTTGTTGGGGGCATGGGGGGGAGGGTCGGTAAGAGGAGGGGTGCGCGCGCCGTCGCCTGGGAGGCGGAAATCCAGCGGGGTGCCTGGCTCCGCGGGGTGGTCGCCGCAAGCTGCGTCCCACAGTCGTACGCGTAGTTGTGCTGCTTCAGCGGCAAGCCGAAGACCTCGGAAAGCAGTGGGGAAATGGTAAGAATGCTGTAGCCACCATAAATCGTCCGGGGTGGCCCAATTGCCTGGGCCAGGAGCGGCTCGACGTAGACATTGTAACTCCACTTTGAGGACATCCTCCGTCGGTTCGCTGAGTTGCGCCACGAACGTCAACACAGAGACCCCGAAGGTATTGTATGCGAGCGCAGAGCAATGAAGCCCCAACGGGTGGCCTGCCCATAACGAGACTCGTTGTTGGAACTTCGCCTCCGGATCCTTCCAGAGCAGGTCCCGGCTGCCCGGGCCCACGTAGAATCCCAGATACTTCCCTGCAGGCGCCAATTTGGTGGTAGACCAGCTCGGCACAATCGCGCCGAGGTGACACCGTACCGTAGGGAGCGGGGAGGCGAACAACGGGATGACGACCGTCTTCTGCAACAACTCCGCGCAGAGGGCGTAGAATAGCGGGGACAATGGGCATCCCTGCCGGACGCCTGCTGTCAGGGGAAATCCTGGTAATGTCTGCCCCTGGCTCACAATTTGGCATCGGTTGTTGTCGTACAAATGCTTCACAAAACTCCTGGCCGACTCAGGCAGTCCCAGGTGGCGTAGCATGTCGTGTAAGTATTCCTGCGAGAGCGACGGGAACGCGGACGCAAAGTCGAAGAGTATGATGGCGCCGGATTCCGATTGGAGCGCTGTAGTCATACTGGCAAAATCGACGTCAAGAACGTTCTTCAATAGCGACCGGTGTCGAAAGAAGCCTTGCTGCGGTGGGCCGACCCATTCGTTGATGACTGGTTCCCAGCGCTGTCGGGCCGCGTTCGCGATGATTCTGTTGTCTGTGTTCACGATAGACAATGGGCGCGTGCTGTCCGCCGTGTAGACGTCTCCATGGGTCGGATCGCAAGTCAGTTTCTGCTTCCCCAAACACACGAGGGTGCCCAGATTGAAGTCGTGGCCTGCCGGGTCGTTGTCGTCGCTCAGGTCGTGGAGGCGACTCTCCCCGGAGGAGCTCTGGAGAGCGTCGGCGGCTTCCCAGAAGGCCCTGATGGCGATCTGTCCGCTTCGGCGCCAAGCGATGTGCGGAATCCCGTCGGGGCCCAGCGTGCTGTTGCCCGAGTGTTTCACCGCGTATTCCACATCTGCCTCTCGTAATGCCCACTTGTCCGGGGATGTGTCTGAGGGTGGACGCGCACCGTGCCGACGCGGGCGGCCTGGGCGCGGTCGTGGATTGGCGGGTTGGGAGGGCGGCTGTCGTTGAGGGGGAGGCGCGGGGCGGTGATGTGAATCGTCTGCAGCGGTCGGGTGGTTCGGGGCGGCGTCTGACGTCGACGTCGGGGGTCGGGTCGGTAGGAATTGCGGGAGGGAGGCGAGCCAGCGCTCCAAGATGTGAGGGTTGATCGGTTGTCGTGTGAAGACTCGGCTCCAATGTTTCCCAAGCTCCTGCGCAATGTCGTAGGGCGTGTGTGCTAGCTCGCTGTCCGGAGTCTGGATACCGCCGATGGCGGTGTTGCAGCCCGGCTGCAGGCGTCGGAGTTTCGTGAGTATGTGTGTCTTGCGTTGTTGGTATTCCCCTGAGTTGATGTCTGCCTCATGTTGCTGTAACGCGACAAGGTCTGTCGTGACCGCGTTGTGAGCGAGGTCGATCGCATGTTGTCGGACTGATTGAAGCAGCGGCGAGAGGCGAGCATTCGGGTCAGCACCGGGGGCCATCGTAGCAAGGTGGGGATAGGCAGCCAAGCAGCGATGCATCGTTGGTACGGAGATGCGCTCTGCTGCCCGGATGTACGCCATTGTCCAGCCTAAATTGTCGCGTGGATCATCGGAGGGGGTGTCAAGCCCTTCTTGATGCATCGTCGTCGCAACTCGTGCCACGCACTGCTTCAAAGTCCTCAGTCGGCGGAGGGGGTTCTGGGGGTCGCGGTCCTCGCGCAGTGCTTCGTTGTAGGCGAGGGTCAGTCGACGGTGCCAGTCTGGGTGTCGAAGGGGTCCAGGGGGGAAGTTGCCTCCTGTACCTGGGGCACGGGTTTTTGTGAGGCGGGAGAAAGATAGGGGTCTGTGCTGTGAAAGGGGCGTGTGCGGGAGAGCTGTTGCGGAGTACTGTCGGTCCAGCTGGTCGGAACAGTGGTGGTTGGAGTAGATGCGGTCGATGCGGGAGAGGGCGCGTCCAGACTCGCAGGTAGGAAGTGGTTGGGAGAGCTCGTGGAAGCCGTGCCGGCACGTGAGGTGAGTGTCCCAGTCGTCTGCCTCTCTGTGGTCCGTGGCGCCGGTCCACTGCCCGGTGCATTTGCACCATCTGTCTTCCGCCGCAGTCACGAAGTTCCAATCTCCCATCAGGAGGGTGAGCGTGGAATCCACGTCGGCCATCTGGTCAGCGAGGTCCTGGATCAGTTGTCGTCGAGCTTCAGCTTCTTCGTGGCCGGCGGGAAAGTACGCCACGACGATATCCAGTGCCCCGTTGGGCCCACGCAGAGATAACGCCGCCAAACGACCAGGACATATTTCCACCCAGTCTTCGTCCCGCACCCGGTTGAATGAGCTGGGGGAGTGATTCGTCAAGATTAGGCCAATGCCCGCGGTCCGTCGTGTCTGATAGTGCGACCAGAAGGCACGGGTGTGTGCTGGTTGCGTGGAAGCTGTCACGTGGCCGAGCGTGCCGTGCGTTTCACCTATTCCGATGAAGTCGTGCTTCTGTAGCAGATTCCATGCGTGATGCTGCTTGTCCTGCTAAGTGCGGGCGTCAGCGGCAAAGAGGGCCTGAGCATTCCAGTAGGCGCCTCGGTGAGCTCCTGCGCACGGGGAGGCGGCTGGTGGGAGTGCGGGAGGGGGAGGCGTAGGGGGGAGGTCGGGTGGGGCGATGTCGATTCGCGGTCGTTTCGTGGAGCGTGTCTGGGTCGCGTCGGCTATCGGGGTCGGGTGCTCGCGTCGCGTCTGGCCGTGGTGGTCTGGGGATGCGTTGGGACGTACGGTTGGGGGGTCAGCGATCGGTATGTGATGTCTCTGGTCCTCGGGAGCAGGGCCAATCGGCGCGGGTGCCTCGGTCAGGGGGTCGAGCGGGGCGTGTTGGAATCGAGCTCGTTTCCCAGAGATGTGGGGAGTCGTCCCCTGCATTGAGACATTGTAGGGTCGGCGCCGGGTCGTTCGATCCTGGCGGTCAGGGGGTGTGTCCGGGTATGTCGCTATTGGTGGAGTGGTCGGCGCGTGGGGTCTGCTGTCGCTGGAGTCCGGGCCGGGCTGAATGGGGATTCCATGCGGAAGGCCAGGGGGCGGGGGAGGGCCAAGCGACGGCGGCAGGGGAGGAGGGTGATAGTGGGGAGGATGTGGGATAGCGGAGGTGTGGTGAGAAGGGTGGGGATGATCATGCAAGTGCGACGGGAGAGCCGCATGAATTCGGATGCGCAGCGTCGGCCGCGTCAGGTCCCGAGTGCACCGTCCACGGCCATCTCGAGGGGGGGCGTCGGGGATGGGGCAGCTGTGTAGGGTGGGTTTGGGTGTTGGGGGTGCGTCGTGGTGCAGATTTTCGACCTCTATCAAGCACAAAATGCCGTCGATCGCCATGCTGTTGTTGTGGACGTGCTGGTAGAGCTGATTGAGGTCGCCTGTGGTGTCGCATTGGACTGTAATGCGGTATGCGTTCTCGTTGCGCCAACGGTGCGGTCGAAGGGGCCCGCCCTCTTGCTGCCTCTGCCAGGTCGTGCCGGTCAGTGTCGAGATCTTCGCCATGAGGCGGCCCGGTAGGGAGTCGCGGTGGCCCGAGGGGGCGTCGGATATGGTGATGACCGTGGATAAAGAAATGCGGCGCGCCTCTGTAGCCGGCGCGGCAGATGCGCGCGCGACTGCCCGGCGCCTGATGGATGGGAGGGTCTGCGGCTTCGCCCACGCGCGGCCTCCCAAGATCGATGGGCGGTACCGCACACGCGTGATAGCATCTTGCGGGGTGGCCGTGTTCTGGTCGGTGAGTTCTTGGCTCCAGTGTTCTGCCGACCACGTCGTCCTGATCAATGCCCGGCGTGCCGAGACAAGCACCACCTCGTTCGTCCAGCCCCGCATAGCTTCGATCGCTGTTGGCGAGCCCATATCGACCACCATGGCTGTGCGGTCTGTAAATAGCGCACGTCGTCCGATGAACGCTCTGCTCAAGGAGTCCTGGTTCTTGAGGTGGTCCACATAAAGGTGCATGTCCAATTCGGTGACGTGGCTCTCATCGAAGAATCCCACGAAGTAGAGCCGTTGTGCTGGGCCCTTGCTGCCAAGGCTGCGCCGCGGGCCGTCCCAGCGAACCAAACCAGGAAGAGTCAGGTTCTTGAGCGTGCCGTGGACGCCGATCTCCTCCGTGCCATAGAAGTCCACGATGATTGCGGGGCCGGAGGTTTCCTCGAGCAATGTCGGCCGCCAATTGAGCATAACTGGAGGCGAGGTGGCGCCACAGGTCGACAAGCGAAAAATAGCAATAGCTTTCACATGATGAAGCGGGCCGGATGGCCCAGGAAAGACGCACCTGACTGGTTGACGCAAGTATTCCACGCAAGATAAAATAGGTTTCCATTCCGCCTCCATCAAGCCATGGCCCCACAAGTCCTGAATTTCCGTGGGCGTGTTGCAGCCAGGGTAAACGTCGTGTGGGACAAGTAGGTGCAGAGTTGTCGTTGCGGTCGCTGTGGTTGCAAAGGCTTTGAATGCACGGGCGAGTCTTGCCATGGTCTCCGAGTCCGTCGGCGCCCACATGTAGATGTCCTTGCCGCACATGTCTTGTAAGGCCCCGTGGATGCTCGCTGGGCTCTTGGTAAGTGCCTCGTAGTGGTGACGACCAGCGAGTGGCGGGAGTGCCAAAGGAAAGTGTGTAAAATCGATGTCTTGTAAGTGAGACATGTGGAGGAGGAAGGTCGTGGGTCGCCCCTCGGTGGTCGCCCGGTCGTGCAAGTACTTGAGCAGAGAGGTGCCGACCTCGAGCCAGCGTGGGCTCCGGGCCGTCGTCCATTTGCGTTTTTCCCTGAGTATGTGGGGCAGGTCGCCAATGCATTGCTTGCCTGCGGCGTCGAGGCGGTCCAAGAAGTGTTCGGTCTCTGCTGATTCCTGGAGTCGGCGTTCCGGGTGCTGGCAGACTGATGTCAGGGTGTGGGCGAGGGCCACCCGCCGCATGATCATTTCTGTAGTGGGGGGTGGGCCCTCGTACTTGGGTGTGCCAACAAGCGCCCATGGGTCCGTAGCTTTGGGGTCGTAGGCAAGACACCGGAGGATGGGGATAAGAGATGACCATATGCGAAGGGCGTCCAGGGTGATCGGGTGACGGTTGTCTGAGTGCTCGCGTGTGCTCGAGACCGCGCTTATGTAGTCTCCGTGGGCTAGAATTTCTTGCTCGATCAGCTCGGCAAGCAAATCGTCCATCACCTCAGCCCCGTCGGGGGCCTCTGGTGGCGTGTCGGATGTGTCTGTGGGTCGGGAAGCTGTCGAAGCCTGTGAAGTCAGGGCGGGGAGTCCAGGAGGGGCTGCCGTGGACGTAGTTGCCGCCAGGTCTCGTGGTGGCCCATCGCCTTCAGCATGTCCTGGGAAGGGCGCCACTGGGGCCTGCAGTTGTCGTTCCGTGTTGCACGAAGGGCATCTGCCCGCGCCTGGAGTCGAGGCGCCGAAGAGCGGGCACGCTCTGTGTTGGCAGGAGAACACTCCGTTGAGTAGGGTCGCCGGGCCTCCACCCCGTAGGCGTGATACCAAGTGCAGGGTGGCGTGCTTCTGGATGTTGTAATCCTTGAGCTTTCGGCTGGCTTCCAGCTGCCTGCCAGCATAAAGGAGTCGTTGAGCAGCAGAAAGGATGCCTTCCTTGTCGTGGATCTGTGTTTTTGTGCAGTCGACTGTGGCCTCCGTTGCCACATGGAGTGAAATGGTCTTACCCGTGAGCGTCTTCACGAATATCTGCATCTCCGTGAGGGTGTTCGCGTTGGTGCCGGTCGTGTTGCTGGCGTGGGTGGTGGCGTCGGTGCGGACATCACGGTTGTCATGTATGTCGCTGATGGCGTTGGCGTCGATGCGGCCCCGTGCAGTCCAACGTCTGCGGGATCGTCCCACCCGCCTTGCGCAAACGATCAAACGTATCTTGCCATATTTCGGTCTGCTCGTCTTCGTCCGGGCTGTCTTCAGGACGTGCTCAGGCACGGAAGCATTCGCGATGTCCATGCCCGTGGAGGCAATTAGCCAGTACATCAAAAGGAAGAGGTGCGCTTGCCAGGTAGAGGGCCTCGGGAGCATCCTGAAGTACTTGGCGGAGGCGCTGGGACTGATTGGGGCGCCGGCATCGGAACAGGTGTTGGTGCCGGTGTCAATGCTGGCGTCGATGGTGGCGTCGGCGCGGGGTTGCTGCTGGTATCCATCGTGTCGTGCATCGTCGTGTTGCTGAGCACCGTCGGTGTGAAATTGTTGATTATGCTCGTGCTGATTGTTGTGGTGGTTGTCGGAGTCTTGGTCGTGGATCTGTGTCCGGGGGCTGTCGTGTGGGTCGCTGTGGAGGTGCTGGATGCTGCAATGCCGGTCGTTGCGAAGTGGATTGCTGCCGGCACGCGGGTTGCAGTGGTGGCGTGGGGTGTGGTAGCGCTGGTCATGTGAGTGGTGCGGGCTGCTGCCATGCTGCTCGTTGTGGTGGTGCTGGTTCCACTCGTATTGGTCGATGCGGATGCGGTCGGCGAAGAGGCCGAGCTTCTCGGTGATGTCGTGTCCGGCCGCGTTCCCCAGCATGATGGGGAAGGGGTACCCGTCATTGTCAGAGGTCTCGGTGGCAATCCTCCGCTCAGTGTCGAGGACCAGTGACGTAACAATACCGATGTCGATGGCGTCGGCGCTGGTGTTTGGCATAGTGCCTGGGTCTCCAGCGGCGCATACATCGTGGGCGTCGTGTGGCTTGTCAGACTTGTCCAAGTCGAGGCGCAGGATGGCGTGTAGCATGTCGTAACGCTCGAATATGGGCACCTTTGTGGCCCCGTTTATCTCGGGGTCCTCGTCAAAGCCGATGCTATGATCAAAAGCTGGCAACGAGTGTTTGACCATGTGACCCCTGAGTTCGACGTCGTTTTTCTTGGTTCTCCAGGTATGCCCAGAGTCGTGGACACAAGAGTGACCGAACCCGGAGGTGTGGTGGAGAAGATTCTCCGTGACCGTCGCCATATCCACCTTCGTGTCCATGGGGAGGTCGAGGGCGGCGCAGCCGAGCTTCACCGTGTTGTCGCCCGCAATCTCTCGCAATTGCGTCTGGGTTGCCATCGGGTGCGTATTGGTCGTCTCCAGCCGAAAGCATGCGAGGATTTGAATACTGTCGTCGAGATCCGCGCGTTGGACGTACTTCGCCATGGCGTCAATGTTCTCCGGACTGTCGGCGCTGAGGCTTGCACAGACGCCGGCGTTGGAGTTGTCGTCGGTGCTGGCGTGGGTGTCGGCGTTGCTGGTGTTGGTGCCGTGAACATAGTAGCCGTCCACGTCGACGACCTTCACCGAGTGTCCTATGTGCTCGATGACGACCCCGCTGGGTTGCTGCTGCCGCTGTTGTTGCTGGTTGCCGTCGTGGTGCTGCTGGTAACTGCCGTCGTGCAGGTTCTGGAACTGATGCTGATCGATGATGTGCGCTCCGCATTGGCGAGGCTGGCCGTCGCCGTGGTGCGCGTGGACTCGTGGCGATCCTGAAAGTCCTATTCCTGCCAACGCAAAGGACACTTCCAGGGGAGACAGGATTGGGGTAGGGCGGG